ATTTCGCGACCGGTCCTAACACGTCGCCGTCGAGACCGACTATGTGCTGGGTATATCTGATGGCTCTGCTGTATATCTTTATTCTCTGCCAAGATTACCGTCGGACTACATGACGAGCTACCGAAGTGACTCGTCTACTAATCGGTCGAAAAGAGCTCTATCTGATATTAACCTGTCGGCGATATACGGTCACCCAAATAATAATATCTTTATATGCAGGTCGGCGGCGGCGTGCTTCAGAACTGTTGCCCTAACTCTCACGTCTTTACACCTCTGAACTACGAATGAGCACGTATGTTTTGAAGATGCGAATCCTCGAGGCTTCGTCGCACGTCGTCAGCGGGTAAGTGCGTGTAACCGTAAATGGGCCAGCGCGTGCGGTCGTAATAATAATGGGATCTTCGTTATAAGCGAACGAATTATCGGAAAGGCGCGCAGGCGGCGAACCCGCTGCGCGGTATCGCGATAGTTCGCCGCCCTGGCTGACTTCTGCCAGCGGCAGCGATTTAAATTCTTATTGTGACGTTAAACCGACACTATTTACGAATCAATAATATTTGGCAGATCCCAATTAGACCGATATACTGTATATCGCTGTAGCTGTTCACTCTAATATCAACTACTATTTCCTTGATCACCTCTCATAAATCATACGTGTCGTCGACGACTATATTCTGCAACTCGGTACGAATGAAACCGTCACTACGACACGGTGAAATGTTCGCCTCGAGGTCCGTCTCGGTTGTGATCCGAAACTCTTCCATTTAAAGTATATTTCCATGTTATTGTAATCCTCAGTCAGGGGCTTCTTTACATATGCCTTGCTTCTACCCAGCACGATACATACATTAATATAGCTTAATGGATTTCTTGTTATAGTAAAGCATATACTGTACGGTTGTATGTCACGCGAGGATGACTCCCTCTCTCGCTACCCGCCGTCTATGGCTGTTGCTCATATAGTGACCGGATGTACCTGTACCAATTTATGCTGATGCACTGGAGATCACATCAAAGTCTTTCACCCAGCGTTTCAAATTTTACCGCTAGAAAATCTATCGATACTTTTTGGAGACTACATAATTGGGGGGAAACTTTTTTCATTGAAGAAAAGTCTCTTGGCTTTTATAATGTGAGTCTATAGGAATATTGATTCGATTTACCATAGGTTTTTATAAGACACAGTACTCTTACAAACTGGGGAATGCCTGTACAACTTTCCTAACATTCAAAGTACCACAACAATATTAAATACAATACCACAGACTACTTGAGGTCCAGTTAGCTTCAGGTCCACTTCGCTGCAGGTCCAGTTAACTTTATATCCAGCCAACTTCATTCTAGTTCACATCAGGTCCAAAATTTCAGGTCCACTTTTGGCAGTGATGGAGAAAGTACCTGAAAATATTACTTAAGATAAAGTACTGCACTGTTGATATGCAAACATTTAAACTATGTACTAAGTACTGTAGTCTTCTTCAAAACTATGCAAATAAAAGTTTCATTAACTGAATTGAAACATACAAGCAGAAAAAGGTATAAAAAGTAGTACAGCATTTGTAAAGAATCATAATTAAAAAACAATGGCATTATGTTTTCAAAACGAAGCTTAAAGTTATTAATATATTATACAGTATTGTACTTTAAAGAAAAACTAAATAAACACACATTCAAAATTTGGTATGGGATGGAAAACGTGAATCTGGGCCACAGTTTTGATAGGTCCCGTACCACCGACACCAATGGGAAGTGACTTTAGACACAAACATTTACATAAATGTCCACTTTTATAGGATTACTGTACAAGTGCACTTAAATACAAGTCCTCTAATACGCTCGGCTCGTACGCCCGACGACACGACGCTAAGTAACGACGTCGGTCTTACCTCCCGCGGGTCAGCGGCGTCGTTTCTCCGTTTGCCGTTAACGGCGTCGTATGCGAGACCGGACGGGTCTGTACGGTCGAGTCTCAACTTGTCATACCGAGATGTGTTGTTGGTCCTTGAAGCTTCCTGGAAATGTGACCAATAGCTATATAATACACAACACTGTAAAACTATTATATTATAGGCAGGGATTATTTGACCGGTACTCGGCACAATAACCGCCGGTTATTTGACAGAGATCTAAAATTAAACTAAATCCTTTTGTCAACAGAAATTATACAATTAAATAATACCATAATGTAATGACTTGTTTAATGCCCCCAACCATCCCGACTACATTCCCATTAAGATCCCATACGATCCCCACAGGTCCCGGTCAAATAGCCGACGGTTATTTGGCCCAGAATCCGGGTCAAATAACAACTTTGTATTAAAAATAAACATTACTTATCAGTTTAACACCACATGGAGAAACCGATTACTCAAATAGGTTACGTAAAGTTGAAATTATCTTTTTCCAACGGTTTTTATGGATATTTTGAACGATTATGACTTTTGGAAAATAGATGCACGGCCAAAACGATAATTTTACCAGTATTTATTTGGATTTTTTCTCATAAATTTATATGATCTTAATTTCCTTACAGTAACAAAAACAATGAATCTTCCAAAAAAAGTTACTTTCAACATGAAGGGTTAAAAAAAAACATTGAAAACCCTACCTAACCTAAACTAAACTACCTAACTTCTTGCGATGGACGAGCAAAAATTTAATCGGCATACCCGGTTTCGTACAGTCCAATAGCGTTTACACTTCGTGGACGTGACCGACGTAGAACGAAACTGCGACGATGTTGACGGATTCTTATCGTGCTTCCGGGAGAAACGCACAATTTTGCGGGATTTATTATTTAAATTTCTCTCGCTCGAATTTCACATAATCTGCTGTGACCAAACAGAGGACAGTGCAAATCTATTGTGATATTTACGCAGGAGCAAAAACTTTTTTTTCTGGATATGTTTAAGCTTCCCTCGTGACCTAAATGTTGAAGACGAGAACTGACCCACTGACAAAACATTAAAACACAAAAACAAAACATTAAAGAAATAACTTTTTCTGTTATCATTAGTTAAATACAGCTACTCCTCGACTTACGACCTACTCGACCTACGACCGCCTCGGTCGTACCAAAATTTTGTCAAATTACCTATTTTCGAGTCCAGACGTTAGTGATTGCGCTGTGTACCGACAAAATTTTTGTTTGTAATTCCCTTTAAAATAGCTGGCAAGCGGAAGAGTGAGAGTTCTTGTGGTGCCGAGAAGAGAGAGAGACACTCGTTTTAGATTTTCTATGTACGGTATTATTTTCGACTCGCGACCCGGTCCCTAACCCCGTCATAAGTCGGGGACCGACTGTACCGTAATGTGCTGGGTATATACGGTATAGCTCTACTGTATATCATTATCTACAAGAGTTAAGTCGGACTCGCGAACGAGCCTCGGGAACTCGACTCGTCCGTCTGTCGAGAAGCTCCTGTATTGGCTTATAATCGACGTGTACGCTCACCCCAAAATAATATCTTTAGCCACGGGGTCGACGTGATTCGAGGCTATTCGACCAATGTTACACGACCCGTTTCAGAACTGTTGCTAACTCTACGTCTACACCTCTGAGCACGAATGAGTATACATATGTTTTTGAAAGATGCAAATCCTCCGAGGCTTCCGATCGCACGTTACGCGAATTGAGATTGCGTGTCGTAAATGGACGCCGATGCCGTGCCGGTCATTAATGGGATCTTACGTCAAACGAACCGAGGAATTATCGGAAAGACGCAATGGGGAGAGCGAACCCGCTGTATCGCGATGGCTCAGCCGCCAGCCACAAAACGACCAGCGACGCGCCGATTTAAATTCTTATTGTGACATTAAACCGATACCATTTACGTATCAATAATATTTGGCAGAGCCCAATTAGACCGATATATTGTATATTGCTGTAGCTGTTCACTCTAATATCAAGTAACATTTCCTTGGTCACCTCTCATAAATCAGACGTGTCGTCGACGACTACTGTATATTCTGCAACTCGGTACGAATGAAACCGTTACTACGACACGGTGGTGAAATGTCCGCCTCGAGGTCCGTCTCGATTGCGACGTTCCAAGACTCTTCCATTTAACGTATATTTTGATATTATTGTAATCCTCGGTTGAGGCCTTGTTTCTACCCAGCACGATACATACATTAATATAGCTTAATGAATTTCTTGTTATAGTAAAGCATATACAGTTGTATGTCACACGAGGATGACTCCCTCGCTACCCGCCGTCCATAGCTGTTGCCGATACAGTGAGCGGGCGTAACAACTTATGCTGACGCAATGGAGATCACATCAATGTATTCATCTAGAGTTTCAAATTTTACCGCAAGAAAATCTATCGATACTTTTTGGGGGACCGTACATAATTTGGGGGGAACTTTTTTTCATTGTAGAAAAGTATCTGGGCTTTTGTAATGCGCGTCTATAGGAATATTGATTCGATTTAATATAGGTTTTTAATGCATAATACTCTTATAAACTGGGGAATGCCTGTAGAACTTTCCTAACATTCAAAGTACTACAACAATATTAAATACAATACCACAGAGTACTTGAGGTCCAGCCAGCTTCATTCTAGTTCACATCAGGTCCAAAGGTTCAGGTCCACTTTAGCATCGGGTCCACTTTAGGCAGTGATGGAGAGTGCCTGAAAATATTACTTAAGATAAAGCACTGCACTGTTGAAAGGCAAACATTAAAACTCATACAAAGTAGTCTTCTTCAAAACTATGCAAATAAAAGTTTAATTAACTTAACTGAAACATACAAGTAGAAAAAGGTATAAAAAGCAGCACACTATTTGTAGAGTATCATAATTAATAAACAATGAAATTATGTTTTGAAAACGAAGCTTAAAGTTATTAATATACTGCACTGTACTGTACTTTAAAGAAAAACAAAATAAACACACATTCAAAATTTGGAATGGGATGGAAAACGTGAATCTGGGCCATATTTTTGACGCGTCGCGTACTGCCGACACCGATGGGACTTGACTTTAGACACCGACATTTACATAAATGCCCACTTTTATAGGATTACTGTACAAGTGCGCTTAAGTACAAGTACTTTAATACACTCGGCTTGTACGCCCAATGACACGACGTGAAGTAACGACGTCGGTCTTACCTCCGGAGGGTCGGCGGCGTCTCTCCGTTAACGGCGTCGTGTGCGAGACCGGACGGGTCTGCACGGTCGAGTCTGAACTTGTCATACTGAGATGTGTTGTTGGTCCTTGAAGTTTCCTGGAAATGTGACCAATAGTTATATAATATACAATACTGTAAAACTATTATATTATAGGCAGGGGTTATTTGACCGGGATCTAAAATAAAACTAAATACTTTTGCCCACAGAAAATTCTACAATTAAATAATAACGTAGTGTAATGACTTGTTTAATGCCCACAATCGTCCCGACTACAATCCCATTAAAATCGTATACGTACGATCCCCGCAGGTCCCGGTCAAATAGCCGAGGGTTTATTTGGCCCAGAATCCGGGTCAAATAACAACTCAAATCGGTTAGGTTAGGTTGAAACTGGGTTTTTCCAATACTTTTTGATGTGTTTAGAATGAAAGTAGGCGCTTCGCCGAAACTACAATTTTCCGTATTTTTATTTGTTTTGCTTTTTCTAATAGAAACGTGTGACCTTTATTTCCTTTAACACTAGAAACAACAACAACAATCATTCTTCCAAACTGAATTACACTTTCAACATGAGAGGTTAAACAAAATTGAAAACCCTACCTAACCTTTTGTGACGAACGCACAAAAACTGAATCGTCTCGCCCGGTTTCTTACGCGACATATCGTGGTTACATTTTGTGGACCTAACCAAAATAGGACCAAGCTACAACAATATTGACGGATACTTATTGCACTAGGGGCAATTTCCCATAATCTGCTGTGACCAATCAGAGGACAGTTCAAATCTATTGGCAGATTTATTCAAGTGCAAATTAGTTTTTTAAACGTATTTCAGCTTCCCTAGTGATCTATAAATGCTAATGACTCGCTGACAAAACATTAATGAAATCACTTTTTCTTTTATCATCAGTTAAATAAAGTAACCTTTATATATTATTTGAAGTGTTAAGGGATAAGAAAGGTTAGGTTAGGTTTTCTTTTTTTTTTCTCAGAACACCACTGCCACCATTAAGAGTTTTTCGATTTGGTTCATATTTTCCATAGATGTTCTTATTATAATATTTTAAAACGGATGAAGGTTGGAGGAAATGGGGGGAAACACCGAAAAACTGAGCACGCTACACTAAAATGATGTCTCCGTGCTTTGTGGCGAAAAATTTGCCGATTTGCCGGACGTACTCTTGCATCCACAAAAATACAAATTACACCGTGACGCTTCTATAAAGTTGCTTTCGTCGGTACCAAATATCAAAATACGTACTTTGTTTAATATGGCAAGTCCACGCCCTGGCTAGGAAGTTAGGTAAGGTTAGGTAGGTCGCTTTGGTTGGTTATATTACACGAGATTATACAGTATTAGCTTCTAGCAATTGTCGCCGTTTAAAATTCTAGAATAACAACACCTGTGGAAAAAATTAACAAAATCAAACTCGTCCCCGTAACTGAGGTCGTATCTCCGTAACGGCTCATTTATACCAGAAATGAAGGTTAGAATTGCTCGAAAAACATAATACACTAGGGAAAACCTATTTTTGCCATTTCACTTGTCACTAAACGAATCTCGGGAATTGTATAATTGCAATCAGTAATTTTGACAATTCTAAGACACTTTTCTTCAATAACATTTCTGGAACAAAATACGTTTAAGCGAGATATTTAACAGTTTAATATTTATGTCTGTTCATGGCGGTACACACCCACGTTAGTTTAGGTTAGGTTAGGTTAAATCCAAAACTTTTTCCGATGGGTTTTGGTGCATTTTGAACACTTTTTACCACGATTCTTATAGCTCTAGTTTCCGAGGGGCAGGGTGGTAAATTTTTACAACTGGACCAACATTGAGTTTTTGTTGAGCAATGTGTTTTGCCGATGATAGACAATGTTAAAACACGTTTCTTCTACGACGTTTTCCTCAGAAATTACTTAAAATTACCTAATCTCCCTGCTATATTTGAGTCATTTTTGAGGGAAACGTCTATATTTGAGTCATTTTTGAGGGAAACGTCATTGAAGAAAAGTGGGTTAATATTGGTCCATTGGCTGTCCGCAGGTTCCCGCCATGTTTACCAGAGGTTAGGTTAGGTTAGATAGGTTAGGTTAGGTAGGCAGGTGCGTTGCTTCCTATGGTATGATGAATTAGTTTTTGGTATAATTGTGGTGTTTTACTCAAATTTGACCTCTATTTTTTTGGCAAATTAGCAGTTGGTTAAGATTGAAAATGTTCTTTTTTTGCAAAACAAGTTACTTTACAAAAGAAAAGGGCACATTTGAGTAAAACACTGAAAAATCTCGAATAAAAACCTATTCTCGTACAAAACCCGAGGACAGCCAATGGACGAATATTTACCTAAACCATCGGAACAACATTGATCAACAACTCCATGGTTGTCCACTTATATTAATTCACCAGGGGCTTATCTCAAAACTATTGATTTGCGCCACAAATGAAGGTCAAATTCGTTCATTACATCAAAAACCACCGGAAAAACATACTTCAACTTTGATGTCATATAGTGGCAACAATATACCAATACAGTACTTCACCAGATGACCCAGTACAATTAACTAAATTAATCATTAAATACACTCTATCTAACCATAATAATTCTCCAATAACTTCTTAGTATTATTAATGTTAAATATCTGGTATAATATTATGAATAAATGTCTTACCGATGCCTCAGGCCGATATTTACGGGGCTGTTAGATCGTCCTACACTTGGTCCGTCCTCCACCTTCTTCCTCTGTCTTATGGCTCCTGCTGGTGATGGATCCAAGAACCACCAGACGAGAAACTCTCCCCTGTACCCCGTGATGAAGGTTTAGTAGCGCTGTTAACTCATAGATGGCGCTCACCTCCATATCATTCCTTATCTTATTACTTTTTACGTTGAATAGATAAAACAGGCTTCTGAATAATCATTTATTACCATTTAAATAAAACTATATTAGCATTTAATAGAGTCCGTAAAAATAAAATGATTTTTGGTGTGAAATAACTGAAAAACAGAAAGATTTCAGTAATTTAACAAGAAAGAAAATGTGCCTTCGTTGTTGAGGCACTACAGAAACATGTACGTCTTGGAGGAACTATAGCAAATTATAGATCTATTATATATATATACAAACTTTGAAGTATTCTCACCACATTCATTGACAATACTGTACGTTAGTAAAGCCTATATGTTGGTGGTACTTATATACTGCCTGGAATACTTAAGTACTGCTGGTTCACTTAAAGGGTGAAACTTTTATTATTTAGAATCAGTGTGACGTTGAACCATTTTTATTGTTACCAATACTTGTGACGATGTTGTCAAATAAGGCTTCTGAGACTTTATGGTTTGCTTGAAAGGATAAAGGCAGTTGCTTACACTGTTAAAGAGGCCAATGAATTCTATAGTAGATTTAGGAATGTATAGAAGGAACCCAACCAGACATTTATTGAATTAGTTTATTTTATTACCAAGCTTAAAGACTTTTCATTTTTAAATGAGCTTATTATGAGTGACCATTATCTACAGATTCAGATGTGTATTTATGTGAAAGTGACAAATACAGAGAAACTTCCAACTTTAATATGCGCTGTATTTTTTTTATTCATAATCTTTCACATAAAAGTCAATTGTGTTCTGGTTTTTGAAGTTTTGATAAATATAGAATGACGAATTCTACGGCTTTCTATGGGCGGCCAGAAACAGACACCACCACAGTAAAGCCGCTAATGGTTGTTACGCCTGTTTAACTCCCGGTAAAACCACATTCATTAATCTCTATAGTGAAAAATTAACAAGTTATAAATAGAAAAATATTAAATTAGCAATAGAAAGGCGATAAATAGTCAAGACATAGTGATGTTTTATAGAACAATTATCGAGAAATGAAATGTCTTAAACACTTGTAATGAGGTGGTTAGCCTAGTTAAGATTTTCCCGCCTGAATCAAAAGTCTCTTCACCCCCCCCCACTACTGTCGTCCTTAAATACTCCGAAAGCTGTGGCGGGAGGTCAGTACTGATCATAACCGCAAAGGAAGTTGTGCTACTGGACTCAAGAATATACTGCTCGTCATTCTTCAGATGCTGTTATTATTTTTCTTGAGTATATTTCTCGTGTTGGTTAAAAATAAGTTTTGTTGAATTAATTATATTTGAAGTAATTTGGTTATATATTAGTGTAATTGGTGAATTATTTCTGTGTGATTGTGTTGGATTTTAAGTACATTCTATATTTAATCTCTGATAACTTGTTTGTTTCAGATATACGAGATCTACGTGGAGTAACTGTTGACACTGTTTTGGCGGCGGGTTGAAGAGTCTATCTCTGGGTGAAAGGAGTCAAATCCAGCTTCACCCAGGGGACAGTCTTCTACCCACCTCGCTTGTGTGGGCAGGTGAAGAAGATTCCGGCCGGAGTGGGGGAAATATGCAAGAGCGCGAAATGCTTTATTTGTTTAACTCTAGATATCTGATATACGTAGTTCTACAATAAACTTCATTATGTCCCCCAAACCCGTGTTTTATTCTCTTAAAGAATGGTTTTCTGGGGCGTTTTAAACCAATTTCATATTTCCCTCTCAATTATCTTGTATACTATTTACCAGACCAAATAATTTAGGTTTACTAAAGATCGTGGGTACTACTCATCTGTCTAGATAATCCTTAATTCAGCTTTAAGACGCCTCTCGACCCTCTAGCACAATACACTTACTCGGTAGCTTTGTCAAGCAATGTGTGAACTCGGAAGCCTTCATCCATCAGAAGCTTCCCACTTGATGCTATGTACAAATGGAATCTCGAGCCTTGCGCAAAGCATTTTTTAAACGGATCATTGGTTCTCTGCCAAGGAAATTTGTTAAACTGAACTTGGTAAAACATATCGGTGAGGATAGTGGGGCATGCATCCTTACTGCACTAGGTGTCCATAGCCACTTTATCAAACCTGCACGCTGTAAGGGCCTGTGCCTCTTAAAACATTTTACTTTAATACTTACAACCTTTGGTAGCGTGACGAGAGGAGGCTCGTGGGTGTATGTAATGATAGTATCAAGTAATAGGAAAGAAATAACGGTAGATACTGTAGGTAAATAAGACACAAATACAATTTAGACGTTAAAATGGAGGTAAGGGAAAGATTATATGAACCAACAGACGAAACCTGGTACTATGCCCTCGGGCTCAAAATACTCACACCACTACTGGGTGGACATACTCAATAACAACGCAAACTCTTCTAGTAACTTAGCACCGTTAAAACAGGGGGCAACTGCCACTACACCACTCAGTCGTCAGGACTGATACTCGAGCAAACGCCATGAGGTACTTTCCAACGAACTCTGAAGATCCCAGGGGAATAACACAACCACTGAGCTAGACACTCGTCCACCAATGATGGGGGCTGGTAGTTGTGTGTGGCTTGGTGATCCGGGGTCACCTCGCGGGCCTAGCGTTAGGATCAGACGGCCAGCTATGGGGCCCATAGGTAGTACTGAAGTCTGACGGTCGGGTCTCGCGAAGATTACTGGACCTCGGACATCTCGCCAGACTAGTGGATACAACATCCACGCTACCGACACGGCCTAGGCTACGTTAGGGACCTGTGTGAGTGAAGAGCCGAGCACTTACTGTGACATCACGTTTCAGGTGACGTTAAAGACGTAAACATTACTTCACTCAAAGCATAACTACGTTACTGTAACACTTGCACAATCGACTATTAATTGGGTCAAATTACTTAAGGAAGAGCGAATTACAACACGGAGTGGAATGGTCTACCTGTGTGGGTGAAATGCCCGCGGCACCCTCACTCAAACCAGGTCGGGGATTCCACCTACTTCTATTTCGATGAATTACTTTACTGTACACTGACGTTGAAACTGCGACTACGAACTCGGTTTCATTCCCTACTATTATCTTCACAAACCATGCTGTGACTGAGCTATCAAAAGCAAGAATTAAATTGATTACAAAGGGTTGGATGGCAACAGGTCCCAACATACAGCGTCTTGCAAAATAAAGCCCTAAGAATTATCCTAGGATGTCCCATGAGCACTAAAGTACTTACTATGAGGAAAGAACTAGGTATACCCAGTGCTAAAGATAGAATAATTGAAGTCAACCTCATGATATCCATGAGGCGTCTGCGTGGTGATCCTGATAACATTGTTTCCTTAAAATTGCTAGAATGTATGAACCATGGGGCTGCTGAGTCTAAATGGATCCAAACTACAGCTACACATATGAAGATGTTTGGACTAGACCACCTGTACAAAGTTGAGACACAACATCGCTTCCTGCTACCCTGGCGGACAGTTCCCTTCGATATCACAATACCGACGTATCCGCCTAAAAAACTTATTATACAAAGCATTTATCTTCAACACACTGCCAAAGTGAGAGCTCTTGAACACACACACACTACAGACTGATGATAATATCACACAGACCATCTACACTGATGGATCTCTTAACACCGCCTGTGGGAGGGCTGGAAGTGCTATTGTTGTGACTCCACCTGACGGTAATATAATTGAGAAAGGAGTTAGAATTAACAACTGGGCATCCACTCTATAAACTGAATTAGTTGCCTTACTCAGCTATTAAATTCATTGAAACCACTGTCACTGACAGTCTCATCATCATTGACTCTCTTTCCTCACTACTTCCCCTTGACACCCTCGACTCAGGTTGTCACGCTCTTGTCTCTGAAGCCAGACACAAATATGCGTGCCTTGTTGACCGGGGTGTCAAGGTCAAACTGTTGTGGATCCCCTCTCACATAGGCCTCGTAAAACATTAGAGTTGATGCCCTCGCCAAACTCGCGTCTAACAAAGACACCGTTGAATACAATTTGGGTCTGTCAAAAAGAACCCTTAAAACTGTAATTAGGAAAGAACTTATTGATGAGTTTGACGCAAGTAGACTACTGCGAACAGGCACTAGTCGATCCACAGTTTACCATGATGAGATGTATCAAAGTGAAACATGTGTATGGAACAAGTAACATGATCACTAGATTACAAGATGTTGTAACCGCTAGATTAAGGTTAGGATATAAGTACCTTTGGCAGTATGTTCCTCAAGCAGATGTAAACAAAACTAAATGTAAAGTGTGTGGCCAGACATATGGCCACACACTTGAACACTACGTCCTCGACTGTGTGAAAATAGAACCTTTTAGGGACAGGTCCAAGCACAGTGTGTGAAATGGCACAACATTTCAACTCTAATGGCAAGATGGCCGACATATTAAGATTGTATCCACTTTTTTGCGCTATATCAGTTCTCATGTACAGAACCAAATACGCAATGTGCTTGAATACCTCTCACGTAAATGTGAATAACAAAGTGTGAGGCCAGACATATTGCCTCACACGCCTGTACTCACGCATTTGTGAAGAAGTTGCCCTTTATGAATAGAACTAAACAATTAATGTAATTGAAATACTGTGCAACATTCAGTGCCATAATATCCTGACAAAAGGGTTTGTTGACGTTTAAGCGTAATATGAATCCTGAGGGTTTTCAGGTTAGCCATCATTACGATCATGACAACGCGAGTCCACCTGGTCCCGTAACTCGTCGAAAGCTGGCAGCTTAGGTGACCGAATACTGTTGAATACATGGTAGTTGGTGTGGTCATGATACAACCGACTCTATACTTGGAAATGTTCCATCAATTCTTCTTGTCATTGAATCCCCTGTGCTTTCTCATCTGTACTTCCCTCTTTGGGGTTTGTTAGTTTCCTTTGCTAAACTATCAAAATCGACAGTCGTCTTTAATTCCATGTTTCCCTTCCTAATACATAATCGATATAAATGAAAAGGTGGTAGTTCGGCTGCCAGTAATTATGGTGGAAGACCCACCTGGTGAATACCCGAGGTTGGAGCAATTTTGTATTTGAAGCCAGATTACTGCTACCACAATGACCTGAAATGGAAGGACAAACGAGGAAAACTTGAGTCCATAAAATGCTTATTATAACCTCGCACAACAAAGTACGTGTTCTGGGAGAGGTCAGTAGTTCCCCTGGTCTGGCTACTGAGGAATGTCTGCAGCACACTAATGCCTACATTTCCCCCAACCACTAGAAGTAACTTCTCCTTCACAACCACTAGGCATCTGTACTGGTAGCTCCTCACCTGAATCTGTAGGCAGCAGCGTTTCTGAAACAATCCACTCCTACTGCAGATGTTTGGGTACTCCATTGGCCACCATGTCTGAGCTCACTAGTCTTGGGTGGTAGATTAACTTAACTTATTACCTTAAGTATAGCTGTACTACTACACCCTCCACCACTGCTAGTACTCGTCACCATAATTGCTACTGTACTTATTACAGTACTACCACTAGAGTAACGTACTCCAACCTCCATTACTGTACTGTCATTCACATTATATTGCAACATTCCTATACAAGAAACCGTTCATTGTTTAACCCTTCACTAATAGTCCTCACAGCTACAGTAGATATCTCCCTACAGTACAGTATATACCTCGATACCCTTAGTAGGTAGATACAGACGGGGATAAAGATACAGACGGGATATACTATGTAACACTATATTTAACAGAGAATACAGCATTTACACTAAAAAAACACTGAATTACAACTCTTAACTGGGGCTGACATGTGACAAGTTTTGTTGCTGTACAGAAGTTATATACACCAAGAAGGAGAGGGGGAGGGGGCCTCAAACTGTACAAGACAAAGAACAAATTAATGGAAAGTGGAAGCAAACCATAAGTTGCAATTATACTGTATAACAAATACAACAAATAACAAATCTGGAGAACAATTCCAAGTAGTGCCAATAAACTTGGAATAATAAAAACAAGTAACTGAAAAACTGCTATATTAAGTACATTTGAGAAACAAACATACACTTGGAAATTTATAGTCAAATGCGAGACTGGGGGTAACTTAGGCATTATGTTATACACACAATTATATCAATGTACTGAAATATACAGCTCTGTTACGTCACCCTCAGACTGTCCCAGCTTCGTCCGCGCTCGTCCCGGACACTCGACTCTGGAGCTGGTGCTCTCACTCGCCTCCGGACTGACTGTTCATAATGCCTGAGATTTCTATCGTTATTTACAGAAGCTGGTCGGGCTACGGTGATTGACATTATGCGTATAGGGTTTGTTTCTATTTCTACAAACGTATAAATACATTAAGTACTCTTTTGTAAGTTTCCATTCATTGCACTGTCAATGGCGATTTTTGCACCTCTTTACTGGGAGAGCGATCTTAATCATACGATAATGCACACGATTCTGCGACGTCGGAGCGTCGGGGATCTCACGGGCTGAACACACTGAGCGTGTGCATGAGAGCGCTGAGGTTGGTGGCCTGAGTCATGAGGGTGTTCGTGGAAGGATGGCCCATCCCGCGGCCCGCCGCGGACAGCGCCGCCCGGACGGTGGACTGGTAGGTGGTGGCCACGTCCCTCACCTTCACTACCACGTTCTGAGTCTGGAGAGGCGTGGTCGTGTGCCGCACCACCTGCTGGGTCACGTCCACCATGCGCTGAATCAGCTTTATACACGTAGACAGACACTGCAATAACGTGTCTTCGGATTCCGTGGCCGACTTGACGAATAACTTCGAGGCCGTTACGAACTGTCTCGATTCGTTGGTGAGAGCCTCTCTGGCCTCCTGGAACTTTGCCTCGTCTTGAGTGGCGGTGCCGCCACAACGCTGAGCTTCTGTGCAGGTCGCTGCCATCTCCGTCAAGGACTTCAGGGACTGACTGACCACTCCCGTAAAACGGCGGAAGGCATCTCTAGACGCCGGAGGCATCACTTCGATGTCTTCTGCTTCTTCTAATGAATCTTGATCGAAGCTGCCGGAGTCCAGGGAATCGTGCGGATCCGTCCCGTTTGGAGTCTTGCCGTTGACCGTCTTGTTTTTGGGAGAGAGTTTTAGCAAGGACGTCTGCAGAGGAGCGACTTCTTGGTTCAGGCTGTTTTTAAGAGCCACGCTGGAATTATCCAGTCTGGGCAGTCTCGAAGCCGTGGAATTTTTGTCTGCGTTTCGCACGGGCCTTTTGATGCCGTTGGTGGTGGCCGGCGGCGATGCGGGAACTCTCCGAGCCGGTGACTGACCTTTCTTGACGGGGAGCCGAGGCTTCGGTTCGTCCGCACCGGCTGCCTTACGAGTGACTTTGGGACTCTTTTGGGGGGAGCGAGTACCCCCTCGAGGAGAAGTGGGACTGCTCGCGGGAGCCTTGCCGCCGGTAGGTCCGGAAGGAGCCGTTAATTTGGCCGAAGGACGCGAACGGTGTGGGCCTGGTAGATTATTTGTAGGAGTAGTAGTTGGGCTGAGCTGTGGCTTGCGAAGTCTAGAAGGCACCGAGGGTGGCCGCTCCGAGTTATCTGGCGAGGGACTCCTTACGTGCTGGTGATGGTGAATGAAGGCCTTTGTTCTGCATGCCTGCCTTCACATTGTCCTGAGGAAGAGAAATTTTATTTACTAAAATTAACAGATAATGCTTCATACATATTGCACACACACACAATCAACTTTCTCCAGTTCTTCAATCAACCAGACTTATTAACATATACAACTTTCTTTACTCAACCAACCACATCATCCTCAATTATCATCCCATCCAAGGCAAACACCAAACAGTCATGGTGACACTACATATCCTACTATAGTCTTTCTTTCACCAGCAACAACTTCTCCTCTCCCTCACATACAGTACACTGCCTATAGACAACAATCAGTATTTATCTAATACATTTTCTAACGTTCCTACATTACTTTTCTAACGACTCTATCCGGGTCCTTAAATACCAGAAAAACATTATCGACTTCATTAGATAAGTTTACATATACTGTAGTACTATACTCCTTAATGAAAAAAAAAGACCTACATAATCAATACACTTTTGTTATTCTATTAAAAACAAGATTAATGACATCCTTATTCTGTATTTTTCTAGGTAAATAGACAGTTTCAATATGAATACTAAAGAGATCCCATCTAACCGTTTCCTCTCTTTTAATTTTTCTTTTATCACATTGAATCTTTATTTCTCTCAGTGTTAAACAGGATAACTCTGCCTCTCAGCTGTTACATTTACCAACTTCTCACAATACAACCTTTACCTCCCTCTACCCTCGTCTTTTTTTCATATTGTATCCATGCTACCGATCGTATAAAGAATTAAACACATCAGTACATAAAATCTATTTCTTCTCCAATTCCCAAAAATAGAGAATATATTCACCTCCATCATTGCTGTAATGTATAAAAAAACAAACAAATCACAAAAAATAACAAAACAAGGCAGGTGAATTCAAGACTGGCTGAGCTGTAGTTCATTAATGATGTTTAGAGATTTATTGAAAATGTTAAGAGTAATTCTTCAGTAGAGGAATTCAACTGTGATGAGCTTCGTGGAAATGGAGGTTTCGTGGCGGCTTTGGAGCCGTTCCTCGGAGGTAATTCTGTAGGATCTTCGTCGTCCAGGCTCTTGAGCGAGGCCGAATTGACGGTCGCCATACTGGAGGACGACGTGAGAGAATCGTTACTGGAGGCTACGCTTTGTTTCGAGGGGGACCCCGGGGAGGCTTTGGCTTGGCTGACGTCTTGGCTGGAGGCCGAGGCTTTGGTGCTCGACTTCAAGATGGTGTTGTAACTGGCGTGACTCGTCCTTCAAACAATGGTATTATTTTAGTTATGTAAAATCATTTTGGGATTTTGGAATTTGCAATATATAGATCTAATAATTCTATGACTGTTTTCTTCTATGGCATTTACCTCGTAGATGTCAAATAACGGAGATATTGGATGTGTTTTATTCTCTTGTTAATATCATATACGGGAACACCTGTCACCTGGTCACTTTGTTTACAACTGAGCCACTCTACCTGAACGTACTCTCACGTCGACAAAAAACGTAAAATTACACCATGACTCTTTAATTAAGTTGCTTTCATTAGTACTAGTTATCAAACTAAGTACTTTCTGTTTAATATGGAAGAGGGTTAGCCCCCATCTAGGAAGTTAGGTAAGGTTAGATAGGTTTCTTTGGTTGGTTGGGTCAGGTTTTATTAGGTTCATTATTATTCACTTGTGACTGAAGTGTATAGAATGAAAGTTATAGTCAAAATGATGAGACATAACTATTGTGTTTGTTAAAAATCCCAGATTCCATGATTGTACCAAACTAAAATTTTACCCAAACTATATCAGATTTTATATTTTTATTCATACTGATTTAAACTACATTGATATACATTATAATCATACATACATACATTAATTATTCTGTTACTTTCATCATTTATATTGAATTTTTTTGGGTAATGAAGGTTCTTACTCACCCCAAAGTTAGAGGCTGCAAATCTATCAGAGGCTGAAACAGCGGAAGAAGCCGTAGTGTGGACGTAGAAGGCATTAATGTTGGCTCGCAGCGTGGACATGACCGCCGGCACTCCTGGACACAAGTACTTGGTCGACAGGCAGTGGAAGTGACTGTGGGGGGACAAGGAGGTAAACATCGTGGCTGGAAGAGAGAGAATCGCTACATAGCAAAGGACATCGCTATGGGAAAATGAAAGTGATATTGTGGAAGAGTAAATGATAAATGAGGCAAATAAGGAACCGTGAAAGAATATGAAGATATTTTGGGGAATAAAGTGGGGAAAAAAGGTAAGCACAAAGGAAAGTGTTTGAATACTGTTAATTATCATCTAAATTATGTCCCATGAGAGTGACAATACCTGTACACAGACAACCCTCTTCATTACAGGTATTTATCACTTTAACGTTTTCATGATATGTTTAATCAGCCTGTTTACATGTGGAGGATGGTTATAATAAGGTATAATTGGACAGGTAAAGTACACAAATTATATAAAACATAACTTCACCAACACTTCACTATAATCTTCATAAGTGATACTGACAATTGTGTGGAACATCATAACTTCCTGTGACATTCATTTATTATATAACTGGCGATGGAGTTTAGAACTTTTATAAATTATGTCTCAGATAATATAGATATGGTATAAAAAAATTAATATCACACAAAATCATTTCTAGTAGAGGGACAGTAAGATTACTTTCAGAGAAGATCTATTAGTCGCTAGACACGAGACTCAGGGGGTGATGAAGTCTACAGTCGAAGCCAGCAACGCTTCACTTACTCGCGCTAAAAAATCATATATTATAAATCTAAGGTATCTCTCTCTCTGACCTGTAAGTCTCAGCCCGCAGATACTCACGTCATGGCCTGGTATATGCTCTCGATGCCGTATCTCATGGCAAACTCAACGACGATATCCTGCGCGTCGTCGTCAAAATCCCCTGATCGAGTATAACAAAGCACCCTGATCGAGAATAACAAAGGACCCTGATCGATTATAACAAAGTCCCCTGGTCGAGGGTGTGGATAGAGAGGTGCCCCTGGTGTGTGGGTAGTGATCTCCCCCTGGTGTGTGGGTAGAGAGGTGCCCCTGATGTGTGGGTAGTGATCTCCCCCTGGTGTGTGAGTAGAGAGGTGTGCCCCTGATATGTGGGTAGTGATCTTCCCCTGGTAAGTGGGTGCAGAGGTGCCCCTGATGAGTGGGTAGTGATCTTCCCCTGGTGTGTGGGTAGAGGTGTGCCCCTGATGTGTGGGTAGTGATCTTCCCTGGTGTGTGGAAGCATGGCGGGACATCTTAATGCATTTACTTGCTGCTAAACTGGGCTGAATAATGAGCGCTAAATGGAGCACATACATAATATACACATAATATATATTACAACGCCGCGGCACTACGCCACCTCCCTCTATACACTCCTGCCAAAGTCTTGAAACGGACACTCTTTAGATCCGTTCTGACGTCGAGGGACTGTGATCACTGGGAAGAATTGTAAGGACTCAACACTGGTGGCAGGGGTCCATGAAGAGCATTGTTACAGGGCTGGAGAAAACATGGTTCCTCCACCACGTACTAGGTAGCGCACCCTAGTAGTACGTGACCTACTCCCGGACCCAAAAGACTACACTTCTTTGTCCCCAGCGTAGGGAGGTCAGATTCCTGGTACGGACTTGGGTGCCGGCACTCAGGAGAGAACAGGCGTGGTCGTTGTGGCAGGCGACGACATCCTGGGCGTTTGGCGGCTCGGCGATCACAATCTCTGTCTTGGCCTGCCCTCCTTGGAAAAGTTGAGGTGACAGGACTTTAAGAACGAAGGGGCGTCCATACAAAACCTGGGCAGGGGAGCGTGAATTAGCCAGTTGGTGTGTTGCGGAGTTCAAAAAGACCCCGGTCGAAGGCCTCGCAGTGTGTTCCCAGAAGAGACCCTTTAGGATGAGGTCTTCAGGAGTTTGCTGCTTAAGCTCCTGTGTGGCCGTTGGAGTCTTTGGTAATGGGCGATGAAACAACACATGCCGGGAACCCCGCATCAGTCCAGGAACACAGCAAAAGTCCCGGCTTGGGAGGCTGAGGCCCCTCCGTCGGTTCGCGAGCGTGCGGGCTGCCCACGTCACGGGAAGTAGTGGCGGAACACTGATGGTGGCGGCAGACGTCGTGTCATTACCGCATGATGACAACCGGCCAACCAGAGAGACGGTCGACGATAACAAGGAAGGACTCTGGCACACAGAAAAGTCGGCCGACACAGCCCAGACTCAAAGGGCAGGTGGGGTTGTCGTCCTCATAAAGGAGTTCCTGCTGCTGGCTGGGTTGTTGCGTGGGGCTTGCACACCTGGTTGGCGTGGAATGTCGAGTTGATGCCAGGCAGACGATGTCTTGCACGCCGTTTGGTGGCCTCGGCTCCACGGTGACTGTCGTGGAGGCAGGCCAAAGAATGGAGACTTGAAGCAGGGGACAACTACCGAAGGAGGTGTCACTGGCCAGAGAGGAAGCAGGGGTAGAGACTGACAGCAGGGTGGTGCTGCTCCGCTTCGTGCACACCCTGTTGGCGTGTTTCTCAAGAATCGGTGTTGCAGGAAGTCCTGGGAGATGGCCAACTCTTGCGGCAATGTCTGTAGGACAGCAAAAGGAGTCAGGACACCATTTATGCACAATCCAGGCCTGACACGACCTGTTGCCCAAGGCACCATGCCGACAGACCTAGGGCTGGGGCCATCTTGAACCATCTGCCGTGACACAGAGGTCATGGGAGGTCCTAGATCAGCAGGAGAGAGAGCTGGCATTTAAATGCAGGACCGATAAACTGTAGCATCAGCGCCGGTGTCCAGGCAACATCTGAAGGCAGGTGACACACTGCCCATAATTCCACAACCTGACAGGAACTTTGGTCCTGGGATGCGAGTACACCCTCCTAATATGGGTGGGCTTTGTCCGGGGTCGTCGTGCCTCTGATTTGGCGACTGTGGGCGGCCCTCCACTGTTGAAGACGCTGAAGCTTCCATAAACCTTGTCCTTGGGTTTGTGGGTGGGGCAACACTTGTCATAGTATTTGGGAGGCGGTACACGTTGCGCTGGACGCGTTTAGCTAGACACCATGCTGGCGGTGACCAGTGGCCCTTACGGGTACAACTGTTGCATGTAGACTCCAGCTGGATACACCTGTGTTCCGTGCTGCTTTTCAGACCATTACAAAATAGACCAGGCGTGGACGTGGTGGGCAGAGGCGGCCAGGAGCAGACTAGCGACCAGCACTTGGATGGCGCGTACAGCTGGCAGGAGCTCTCGGATGGCAAGAGGTGGCACACCTAGCAGCCTCATAAGAACGACATATCGTCCAGCACTTACATCCTTGAAGGAAGAGTCCGGGGAGGTGAGGCGTTGGACAAGTTCACCGTCCTTAACACCCCATCAGGATCACCTGCTTAGCTTGGGTCTCCTCACTGCTGGTATTGGCTGAACATATATCTACCTCTTCCGAGGGCTCTCTTGGGGCGTACATAAAGAGCGTCAAAAGTCTCACCCTCCATCTGTCTGCCTTTAAACAACAATTCCCTCCTGCGCAGAGCTTCCGAACCACCTTTGTCCTTTGATGTGGAGTGCCTTAGGGAATAAATAAAAGTACCTCCCTCTACAGACAGCGAAGAGGTCGGAGGGTACTTACCACGTAATATGTTCTGAACACCTTTAGACTTCCAAGGACAAACATACATGACTGGAATGGAGTTGTTTGGGCTGTGAGCAAACTCTGAAGTCCCTGCATTGTAGAATATTAGGTCCACCGTCGCCGCCATTCGCAAAGTCTGGAAATTCACATCAGGCTTAAGATGGAGGCGTGTTTGAGCTGCTCACTTTAGGTGAGGGCTGGGGGCGTGAAGGAAGCATTGATGGGAAGTATGCTGAACCAGTCAGTACCGAGGCAGTGTTAGAGCAGGGGCTTGGTTAACTTATTGAGGCAGATATCAAGGCTTCAAACCGTCTTTCTTCCAATCTCCGTTGGTAATTCCTCACCTCTACTTGCTGCCGTTCATCCGCCACACGTCTGCTAGCTTCATCCTCGCGCCTTTCATCTCTCCATAAAACTTCATTAAAGCAATTATCTGGAATGGCAGATAATGAGGTGAAGGGCTGCGTGATGTTAATGGGAGCTGGGCGTGTGATTAGCTGAACAAGCATCCAACCTCTCTGCAGGCTATCATCCGACCCAGCTCATCCGGACTCACTCCACAGCTCGTAAGGCACAAGACTTGCCGCTACTTCATCTGTGTACTGTGTCTCGTCAGTGTGGCCATTCATGGTAAACATCAACAAGATCTCAGACAAAGAAATTGTTAAATACACAGATAAGTAGATTATATGTAAAATATATATAGGAAGCCGCCAGGAGTCGGTGTGTGTGTGCGTGTGTGTGTGTGTGTGTGTGTCCCGGGCAGTGAGCAGTCACTGGGAGGAGGAGGAGGGCTGCAGTCAATGTGGAATTACCCTCTAGGGCCATGTGGTCAGAGGAGGGTGCACCAGACTCCTGCTGCAGAAAATCCCCTAGACATCTGCTTAAACCTTGAGATCACTGCAGAACTTCAAGGTCATGGCACAGGAAACACACAATGCCACTAAACACCTAGAAAATGCTTTATTATGAAGCCTGCTCCAAGATTTACTAAATTCTTCAAGGAGGTTGGCGGTGACGGTTGACACAGGGCAAGGGGTCCTCATGACTTTCACAAACTTTGCACTATCACTCCTTGATATCAGTAAAAGTACGCACTGCGCCATCAATTATAATTTCTGAGTAATAGGATTTAATATACAGAACGAACACAAACACCTGTATAGTTTTGTGGACTAGATTGCGGATAGAAGATAGCTAACACCAAAGGAGAGTAGCGCTCTTCAACCTGGCTAGCAATAACTTCTCTATAGACAATGTAATAGTGGAACATTATGGCTTCCATACGTCACCCAGGCATTAACATCATGGACATCTCAAATAAACACACCACACTTTCATCGAGCTGAATAATAGTACATAAATGGA